TTTAAGAATTGACGAAGTTCAAGCCTAGACTTCATTCTTCACTTTCCATATCCCTGTCTACAGTCTCTTCAACTGTAGCACTGCAGACATGCTCTTAGAGAAACCCAATTATCACAACATTTTGGCACTCATACTCACCCTTCAGTTTTAGACTCCACATAAAACCAGCTCCGAAGTCTGGCATTATGAATATCTCCCTGTACGTAAATCCGTAAGATACATTTTGCAGCACTACTTTTCTGCCTAACTTTTCTTCTTCTGCTCAGTGTCAAGTCTAGAGGCCAGAGGGAACATGGTAGAGCAAGTAAAGAAATCTCAGCCTATAGTCCCTTGTTGCCTCCCCACAGGAAGGCAGGAAGCTGAAAAACCAAGAAGAGCCTGGATGACAAAAAAAGCAATTCTCTATAGATTGGCCCCTTGCCTGAAAGACAGAAGGAGGAACACCCAGTGTCTGCACTGACACAAGCTACATACCAGAAAACTGAAATTCAACTCATGCCAAGTTACACTTTGAAAAGCTAAATATACGTAGGCCAGTGAAAACAAAATTAGATAGTAGTTCAGAGTATGAAAAATTAATAAAACAAGTTTGGTTTTCCATGCAAGTCAGCTTAGAAAGAAAGTGAAAGCAAAGGGAGGATTAATAAAAATTTTCACGCCAAGAATCAGATTAAAACAGCTATTAATACAATGCTGAGCTGTTCAACAGAGTAATGAGGAGAACCAAGAAAACAGCATGGGCTGCATCTTTCAAAGTATACTTCAAACAGTAATTATTCTGAACATAGCAAGGACATAACCACTGAGATATACCACGTTCTCTGAAAATACTACAATGGTCACTGCCTTTTCACCTTTTACAGCTGCATTTACTGTTTAAATTATTTTTTTAAATGTCAGTAAAGAGCTATGGCCTACAACCATCTGCTTCTTTGGATGCATAGCTACATAGCATTTGTGCTCAGGAAGTGGCTAACTCCTAAGACCTAGTAGGTTTTATGCACTCCTCAAACTGCAGAACCTTCCTAGTGTTTGTCCAAGCAACAAGAAAAAACAAGAAATAACACAGGGACACAGGCACATGCACAAAGGACACCAATATCACCATTCTACCATGGACACACCACTAAACACCCATTTAAAAGACTAACCATAGCTGTTAAATAGCACTTTACTGTTATATTTCCAGCAGTATATTTTGAGGTACCAAAGGCTTATCAAAAAGCTACATTTCTCTCAACACGTTCAGCTTGATTTTCCTCTCTCTGTTCACACCCTTTCCTACTATGTTACCAGTTTTTACACTGCATTTTCTGATTAAAATACTCACACAGCCCTCCTTAGAAGTTGCTGCTGTGTGAGAGGTGTGAAGCACAAGAGAGAAGATATCTATGCAACATACTCCGAACCTAAGGAAGAACACATAAGAGCAGTAAAATTGTTACAACTATGCACTGCAATATAGTGAAATGCACAAGATCCAACTAGTGAAGAACAAGTTTCCTTTTTTTCTTGTGTTTATGTTATTGTGTTTTCTTGTGTTTATGCATTTTGGTTTTTATTTGCAGGAAAGAAAAAAACATAAGTCCTCATCCTAAAGGACACCACTGTTTTCAATTTCCTTGCATTGTTAAGGAGACTCCACCTCTGGCTGGAGGCTGGTCCTTTGACATACCCGTTTAACACCTTAGAACAGGCATCTTTTGAACTGCTTTGATTGCAGTTACCTGTCCACATCAAAAAAGCATTTACCTTTATGTAATCACTGGAATATTTAGGGTAACTGGAACGTCCTTTTGAAACATTTATAATACTCGTTACACTTTATGATACACACAGCCTAGACACCATATAGCAAATGACAGCTACTGTTCTTCCAACTGAATATGTCCTTTTTTATGAGCCTCTTTTCCATCTCTTCATACAGAAGTGAAAAAGCAATTCTGACACACACTAAGGAACAGAAGGGGATGGAGAAAGGGAAGATTTAAACAGCTGCACTGCATACTTTCTCCGCCTGTAACTTGGAGTTGACACATCCTTGCCTAAATCCTTAAGGGTAAGGCCAACAGCTAAAGGAAATTTACCATTTTTACACAAATGCTTCCTTCCAGGCCTATTGATAACAGGAGGAAACTTGGCAACATAAGCTTCATTGCTGTAACTAACTGCAGCTACTTTTACATCTAATAAAACAATATCTAATGGCATTTGATCACCCAATTAACACAAGGGCCAGAAAAGTAGCTCCAATCAACAAGAGGAAAAATTAGCACTTTCAGCTCCCTGTTCCACCTATGCCATCAAACGCTAAACACTCAACAGACCCGTAACATAGTTTTGCAGACCTGAAGCCTTGACTAACTTCAGTGGCACTGCATTGCAACAGTATCATCTTCTCCCTGCACTAGACACACTGATGCCTTGGGGAGGAGGGCAGGAACTAAAAGGCAGAAAGAAAAACAAAAAACCACACACAGGAAAACAAAACAAAAAGAAAAAACACAACAGAAACCCACAACCACACACAGGCAGTACTGTATCTTTTCTGATCACCTTCTACTTATTCAAGAAGAAAGATTTAGACTCTGCATTTGGTACTGTGAGTGTGAAAGTTCAGAATGCCAAAGAGAGCTCTGATGCACTTCTGATGCACTCAATCTTTTTAACTGTCTCATACTAACGAGATGTTAAATATGCATTAAAAGAGTCAAAATTATTCAAACTTCCCAGCCATCTAAACAAATTTCTGTACATCCTGCTGTTCTTTCTTCTCCTCAAGGAAAGTCAACAGAAGAAATACTTGAACTCTACCATTTGAAAACAAACAAGAAATTGAACAAAGAGCCAACCAGACAAAAAAAAGCAACTTACTTGTGCTAGCTATATAACCAGCCAAAGAAACCAAAATACACTTGTCTCTTCAAAGACTAGCCATTCCTGAGAGATGCCAATTGGCTACATTTTATTGTATGAAATTTGATAAATAAGCTTGACATGCCCCTCAAGGCCATGTAAATAATTTCAATAAAAACAGCCTAATGGTTTACCTGTATTTTCATTCTGCTTATCCATGAATCACCAATTTCGAATGAACATGCAGTCACAGCCCAATAATGGTGGCACCTATTTACAATTATTTTCAGAACTGTCCTTTAAGCGTAAAGCCATACAGCTTTAAAATAAGCAAAAATTCTGTATTTAAATCAAGCCTGTACGTATTTGCCCAGTAGCCTACTCCACAATTAGTACAACTAAGGAGTGCATTACACTGATACACAACTCCTGATTCACCAACCTCACATCAGAACTATTTTTGACAAGAAAAAGCGTATGCCAGTTTTTAAACACGCAAGTCATGCTGCTAATTCTGAGGCACCCAAATGAAAGCTTATTTCTTGCCAAAGCACTTGGTAGAGAACAGATTTGTTTGGCTAACTTCTAAAAAGATAGATCTATCCTTCCACCAGTATTTTAGCATGGCAATAGCGTATTTTTCAGCACTTTTCCAGCACTGTGACCCAACTAGCATTTTGTGCAAAAGATGCACCAGTAGGTAACCTAAAAAGGGAGATTTTTGTTTCCACAGAATTTTCATGAAGCATCACAGTATTAATTTATTTTGGTTCCCCAGTACTCCAGCCTTCAAATTTTTCATGCCACTGAAGTATCAGAATTACAGAAGAATCTCTGAAAAGTACTTACTTAAGACAGCTTTATCACTACAAGTAACTAAATCTTTATAGTGTATGGCTAGAGCAATAATCACACAGTAAGCAACACTTCCCAAATTCCATTCTGATTGGGCGTGAAAACCCATGCATCCTTCAAACACCCAAGAAGTCACATATGAGAGAAAGATATCCACATATAAAAGCAATCATATTTAGAACGTAGTTAGAGAAGCTCACACACACGCACAAAAAAGGAACCCAGAGCTACCAATATTTGTAATGTCACCTCTCTCAGTTCCAGAAACAAGACTTAAAATTTCTGAGATAAAGACTTTCTACTCCGCACCCTCTAGAATCTTACAATCAGCTGAAAGAAAAAGGCAAGTGAAAAACCATCATGTAGTTTCTGGAAGGGGACACTAATGGCAGCTCTACAATGGCAAATGTGTCTAGGTTATTCTGTGCCAAAAAGAACCAACAACAAACTTTACCACTGAAAAATGGAAACACAAACAAAACCACCCAATCAACAAACCACCAACTTGCAATATTTTAAGTAGCCCAATTCAAGTAGAATATGTAGCTTGAATTTTCAGTGTACTTGGAGAAGAAAAAAAACCACAATTCATCATAAATTGGGAATGATCAGAGAATGCCTACAGACATGTACTGACACTATTCTTTCATAAACAAAACATTAATTGACACCCCCTTCTCCCTCATGACTTAAAGTCAATATTATAAATAGTTAACTTGAAGCAACAACCAGGCAATACCAAAAATAAACCAACACGGGAAGTCCAACAAAACTGAAACAGGAGGTGTCTGCAGTTCAGCCCAGTTTGCCACTCATATTCCTAGAATATTTACATTAACTCCTGTCGCTATTAACTGTAGTTTTAAAGCTAAGTTCCACTGGTAGTATTTCAGATGGTGTTTGAATTACAGGAAAATCAGTACGTCTCAGCATAAATTAAGGTAAAAGGTCACAAGGAAATCACACTGCAGATTTCAGGAACGCCAGTCTGCCACGAAAGACAGAACCAACTCCCACCTCAAAGAGAACACACAACTGTACTGTTCCCTGCTGCTCTGTTTGTCTACTGAAAATCCAGAGCAAACTATCCAGTCCAGAATAGCAGAGCATAGAGAGAAAAGTAAACTTCCTCTACCAGAACTGATTCTGCACAGATCTCCGACAGGTATCCTCACTTACATACATTTAAACAGGTAAACAGAGAACAAGAAGAATAATTATTTTTGCATTAAATAAACAACAAGAATCATTTTTGCGTTACTACATTTGCTCTCATTTTTCAGACTTACCTGGTCTTTTTCATGGGGTAGGAGACTGACAGGTGGAAGAGAAGCTGGGAAAGTAGTTGAGTATTTTGGAGCTCCTTTGCTTTCCAAACTGCCATAATTCACTTTATACTGAGGTCCATCCTTCAGTAATCTCCCATTGTTCACAGCACGTTTGGCCCCCAGACGCAACCTCTGCTGAAAGGCAGGATTGTTGAAAATATTTGCTAGGTCATTTTGACTTCTCAAATACTTTTCTATGTTTTTCAGGGAGGAGCCATTTGGTTCTTGAAGCCCTTCAATTGCTCTTCTCAAGAGTTTATTCCAATCCACATTACGAAGCTCATTACAACCTCCTCTAGATCCCTTAACAGATTTAGAAATAGTGCCAGGTTTAACAGATGAAAACCGTCCAGGATTATCTGGGTCCTTGTAGGATGCAAGGCCTTTGTTGGTAACTTTAAGAATAGAACCATCTTGAACACTAAGTTCCAACTGTTCTGAAACAGTCTTCTTATCTAATCCATGGGAAGCACAAACAGCATGACATATTCTCTCTTCAGAAGGCCTTTGCTTTTGCTTTTTAACTTTTTGTATAGCTTCAAGAATCCACTCCGTATAAAGAGGGTTGGCAAGTTTTACCATGGTTGACCAGTAATTGTTTCCAGCCAAGGGTTACCCATAGAGGTTCCTCCTTATCCTTTTAGCAGATCTTTCAGAGATTGTTTACACCTCAAACACAAATCAAAGGATCCCACAAGCCGCTTGGATGCATCTCAAAAATATCCATCCTGAAAATTTGGAAAAGGCAGGGAAACATCTGTTGACTGAAACTTCCAATCACTTTACTGTTATGGAAAGGAAGAAAAGATTCATTTGTGATGATGCTGGTATATCCTTACAGGAAAGTCTGCTGCAACCTTTGGAATGAAAAAAGAGAACAGTTAATGCTAAAGTAATAAAAAGAAATAGAATGCATTCAGACATGCATTCATAATATAGATGCTGCAGTACAGAAAAACCTTTGTGACATTACATGAAATGTTTGCTAATGCCCACCCCACACCAAAGAAGTCATCAGAAAATCTTTCCACACTTCCAACATTCAGTGGGTTTCCTTCTCTGAAATTCCATCACCCTAGCATTTAACATGCTACTGACCTGCTGGACAATTTCCATTCACGCTAAGAGCTGAAAACATTCTCTAGAACAAACTGCCTGCACATCATTTCTAGACACACTGGTATACGAAAAATACCATCTCTATAGATTATACATGCACCAAAACAAACTATAATCCCCAACAGATGAGAGTTAAATTATTAATCACTGACATTTCTTATAGTAAGTTGTCTGTTATACAACTCAGAAAAAAAACAAAACAAAAATATCAGAACTGAGTTACTAGTATTAGATGCATCATTAATATGTAATTACGCTACAATACAGAAGGAAACCACAAAAGCACTTCTTATTCTTAAGTTACATAGCAGAGAGTCGTGTATTTTGGATAAAAATTTAGAAACAGAAATGGAAAATGAAGTAACAGGAGGCATTTTCACATAAATACACTGTCAGCATGAAGGTCACACTGACAAAATATGTTTCACATTTTAACAAATTTTATTATGGAATTATTTGTTTATTTAGTGGCTATGAAAACTTATGAGAAACCTGAAAGAACATCTTGATCAGAAGTTTATTCATTCTGCAGGACAACATAAGGAGAGAAAAAGAGAAAGCCACAGAAATGAAACTAAGACAGTAGTCACCTAATGGATAAATAAATCTTAGAGGTATTAGTTTTTTTCTGCCTTGAAATGTGACAGAAAAGTTTTGAAGACATTAACAGAATCGAGCAATTACTTTCAATCAAAGGAAAATAAATAAAAAACAGAACAGGAAGATCTTCATTCTCAATAAACAGGTTGTCTTGTAAAGCAGAAAATTCACCAGTTTCACAGCAATATCCAAAACTGAATTTATCTGAAACAACATTTCTAAAGCTATGATAAGCAGCCTAATAATACAGATAATTACATAAGTCTTGGACCTCATTTTTATTAATTTATTCAAGTCATCTTGCATTTCAATCATGTTTAAAACTTGAATAAATTATAAACAGGAAAAAAAAATTAACTGATGCGGTTATCTAAATTATTTTCAACTTGTTAAAAAGATTCCTGTGCAATTGTAAAGAAAACAAGTAGGAAAAACACTTTTGCTCCCATATCTTCTCCTTCCTCTACCCGCTCAAAAATCTCTTGAAATAGGAACTCCAGATCACGTTTCCACATTATTATACCTACACAACTAGATGAGTAACAAAAGAGCTGGGGGTTATTGATGAATATAAAATTCTTCTATATCGAAATAGTAGAAACATCAATTCATTTATGAATTTGTTATTTTTTACATATGACTGAAGCTTAAGCATTTTCAGTTATAAATATGGAAGCTCATCTGACTGCCAGAATGAAAAGACATATCCCTGATACAAATGAAGGGCCTGAATGTTTAGTTGGTTCTCATACTGAACCCTATCAATCTACATAGATTAGATCCTGTTTCTTTGTTGCTTCCTGTCTGTACTCTTGCAAGTTGTATTTGTTAAGTTCTGGTACTTCAAGTATTCGCAACAAAAAAAATAACTTGTTCTGTAAACAGACATTTTAATTTAATCCAGCTACCAAAAGCCATTCTTATCCTAACAGCACTGCTTATATTCACTGTTTTCAGGTAACTCCAAATTAAAACTGTAGCTGCAAAATGCAGACAAATATAGGGAAGAAAAGTTTCCCTAGTATTATGAATCCTACAAATTCTCACAACTCTGACACTTAAAATACAATAATACAACAAAGCAGAATTCTTTTTATAGTGGAGGCCCACTCATATGGAGAGTATTTTCTAGGCTTTGCCTATAGGTTTGCCAGGTTCTCTGTAGCTACATATAAAAGCAGCTTTCTAGGAATCTGGGGGTTTAAGTTTAGAAGTTACTTAGTTTGGGTGTTTTACTGTAAGTCTTCATGAAGACAGTCAGTACTTAAATTAAATGCTGGAGACTGCATTTGCTGAGTCAGTTTTACTTGCCTGATTTTTAAACCTATTGCAGTACTGTTGTATTAAATTTCATAAAAGCAACCACATCACTTCCACTAAATTCCAGAACACACAGTGCAGGGTCTGTTCCAAGCACCTGGACACCGATGAACGTTTCAGTATAAATGGTATAACTTGTGGGTTACAGGAATTTTTATTGGCCAGTGACTGTGGCAAAAGGTGAGCATAAATCTGCATCTTCATGTAAAGTCTCCTGCGTGGAGCAATAATTCCACAGTAATACACATTCAGAACTCCATTTTTACTTATTTACTTAAAACTCCCTATGTGTAATACAACCTCCTGCACACTAGCACCTACTAAATCAACAGTAGTTGACTGTATCAGCAGGAGCATAGTTTCCAACACACAGAACAGGATGCTTCAAGAGGAAAACCAAGACATCTTAAATTCACACCTTCCAACAGAATCCAAGTTCATTCTCTTCAAGAAATCATGCAAAGCTCATCAGATCCAACTTTGGAATTGTTTCACCACAACCTTGAGTCTCTGTTGATCTGCTACTTTGACTGCGTAGGTACTTCAAGTGCAGCACCCTGACCTCCACAACTGGTATGACAAGGTCTACCACAACTAAGATTCAGAACACCCTCTTAGTAACAAACACCTTTGCCAACCATATAATTCCGCTCAGTGATCCTGAAGCTGTAAGTTAAAAGAGGTCTTTCTTTAATCAAGTAAAAACAAATTGATTCAAGATTGTCAATACAGAGATACATGCATACTGAGTGACTGAATAGAGAAAAAACAAATGACTTTACAAACTTTCCAGATTCAAACTAAGGATGCAGAGAAGTTCAAAATGACACTCAGGTTTCTAAATTCAGAACTTAATTTCACCAAAACCACAAAAAGGTGGTCATACATTATTTAATATAGAAAGTGTGATGCTTAGCCAAACATATTTTGAGGAAATACCAATTTTTAAGAGCAATTATAAATTAGCAGGTGTCACCCATGTCTATTTATTAAATTTCCTCCCCTGGTAATTAAATAACTTTTAATCAAACCCTCAACCATACCCATCCAATCACAGATTAGATGTTCCAGACTGTTAAGTGCACAGGACTACTTCCAAGTTTTATGGCAACAGTCATTAAGATCTTTCTACATCTTATGTCACATTTTGGCTTCTACACTCTGTGACAGAGTGAAAATAAGAACATTTGAGGAAGCTTTATTGCACTATATTACTGACCAAGTCTGTTAACTCGTCTGCTACTGAAGAGCTGCAGAACACAAGCATTCGGAGGGTTAAGTGCAATACGTTACCTTTAAAACATGAAAAGCCATCTCCAGTCAAGGCTTGTCATAAATTATCAGATAATACGAAGAAGTTGCAAAATTGCATCTTGGGATTTAGAATGAATGCAAATATGTCCTTTATAAAGCACACGCCTATTGTACAGCTGATTCTAATTAAAGACTGCACTGACTGAATGTGTCAGTCTGAGGTGTCATCAGTAATCCTGTAATCCTGTAATAAGGTCTTTTTTTAGATTGAACTAGTATCTGGAATTATTTCCAAGTGATCCAGATTGTATTTTGTGACATGCTTTTGGATACTTGTGTAATAACTTGGGAGTGGGAAAGCCATAGTTAGAAAGAAAAGAATGAAAAATTAGCTAAACTACACAGCTTGTTTTCACAATCTAAAGTCTTTTTTTTCAGCAATTAATAAAAAATTTGCCTCATCTGTCTCTGAATGTAAATGCAGTTAAACTCCTAAAAACTGATGTTAACACAGCTACTCAAAAAAAAAAGTGGGGGAGGGAAAATGACAGCAACTTGTGCAACCTGCCGGTGACCTGTGAAGCACAATAGCACAATTTCATTCTGCTCCCTCCTACCTGCTCTGCACACACTCAGGAGAAGCAGCAGCAGGCCAGCTCTCTGCTGCAGCATCAGGGTCAGGTAAGGATTGCAGCAGAGAAGGAGAAGGAAGAAGACTGCCATTGCATTCAGTAAGCTTTTTGCCATTTTTCTTTCCTCCAAGCCATTACTTAGAATTCCACAGCTCAGCAGCTCCATATTCCACCCCTATTTCAATTAGTGATGCAAAAGAGCCAAGACAGTTGTTTCCCCGTTGCAAAAATACACACACCTACAAATCGACAGAGAAAAAGCAGATCCTGGCAGGGACTCCCAGCACACATGATACTCTTAAAACTGCTCAGGTCATGAAGCCAGCTATTGTATTACTCTTTATACAACATACAGTTTTCAACTATAATAAGAGCAACGACACTTGAACATGCTTTAAACAGACACATAAGGAGACATTATACTAACTTCAAAACTATGTCAAAAGACTTGGGGATGTGGGGAGTTAGAGTGGCACAAGCGAATCAAACTGATGAAGTGCCTGCACTCTGCAATACCCCACAAGCTAGTTTAAGACCATATGCTAAAAACAGTTCACAACATGAGAGCAGTTAAGCATCACCAGAGGAAATAGCATGAGCACAACATGACACCAGCAAAATCACCCAAATTCACCCCTTCCACCCTCTTCCTTGGAAGTTCTGAGCACTTTACAATACAGCCATAGAAAACATCAGGGAGCACGGGAAGGTAATATTCTGCTAGCAGTTAACCTGGGAAGATGGCTTGACTGAAAACATTTCTTCTTGAGATAGTGATTTTCAACAGAAGGGGTACACATTTGCTTTTTGCAGAGTAGATTATTTTCAATACTCAGTGACAGAATGCTAAACATGAGGCACGGGCAAAGAAAATACAGCACCAACATCACTTCTGAAACGTGGCTTTAGAGGCT